TCCAAGCTGAATAACAGCCCCATCGTTTAACCAGAATTTCTCAACCGCCGAACTCACCCTACGAGCCAACCATCTCGAATTCACCATTATGACCTTGAAGAATTCCCGTTCACCCCAAGGTCTCCGATCAACGGCCACTTGCCGTGGAGGCACTCATCCTTTTCAAACATAACACATGCATTATCTCGCTCCGCACCTCGTCTCAATCACCAACAACCTTGGGATCAATGAATTCGCACCGCCGGTCTCTATATCCAGAGCTCTAACCATTTTCGATCGAATCTCTGATCCCCTCAATAAAATACCCGGTTCTCCCCCACTTAGGGTTCGAACCATCCCCAGTCGGCGTACCAGCAACCTATCACACCGACTGTTTCCACCAGTAATCACCGCACCTACTCTTGGAAGGTGCTACTCAACGCTCGATGATCTCCCGACAGAGATCGAGCAGCTCCAAATGCCCTGAAACTCAGATGAAATCCTCAGAACTTCCCACCATGACTGCCTCTAGTCATTCAGAATCTCACACCATTCCATCACCGGACCTCCCAACTGTCCAGTATTAACCCTGACTCTTAGTCTGGAAGTAATGATCTGCCGTACTCCTCATCATCGCCTCCTCAACCAACGTTCCATCACGTCACTTATCATAAGAGCAGAAACCATATTTCCGCCCTTAATACCCATCAAAGACAATAAGGGCCACCGCCCTGATATACTCCTCTTGATCGTCCGACGCTGCAGCTAACACATGCCCTACTATACTCAATTAGGGTGTATCCTGGTCCTTGACCATCTCAGTCCCCACTGCCGACCTGTTCAAGCTATATCTTTACCTCGTGGCAGACCTACTACCATATACTCTGGTTGAAGATCACCATCCGTGCAATCCCTCAGGGCTCACCCCCAAAATCCAAAAACCGAAATCTCAACACCTCTTACGTCTCCCACAGGAAACGGAAATAGCACCACTCGGGTCACAGAAAGTGACCTCTCCACCATCGGCCTGTCGCCCAGCCCAAACCGTATTCTCCCATAATGCACCATCCCTACTCATCCCTGAGTCTTGCGACTCCAACTGGAATATCACCCACAATTCCTCGGAGCTCACTCGATTTCCCTTTTCAAGGGATGCTCCACTAAAACTTGTTCATCATGGCCTTCTGGCCCCACACTCATTCACTTCGATCTCAGTCTAGACAATCCCCACGGAATAACTGGTAAAAACCAGAACACTAATCGCCACATGTCATGATACTCAAACCACGTTCCCTCTTCTCAATCCACCTCAAATCATGGCACTCGAACCATGACATCAACTCTCGACCTGCTACAACTCATGGGACTCGACCCATGACATCACTTCTCAATCTGCTACTTATCATGGTACTCGAACCATGACATCACTTCTCAATCTGCTACTTATCATGGTACTCGAACCATGACATCACTTCTCAATGCTCAAATACCGTCTCATTCGTGCCTGCTCAGACGACACGTGCTCAGGGCAAAACAACGCCCCCTCGTGAAACATCCGTGTAATCACAGTCACGGACTCTGTCCCCTGCTTGAGGGACAAGAACTCCTGTGCCAACCGTTCCCGCTCCACCGGGGGAACATACTCGTCTCTGAACATGGTGGTGAACCTCTCCCATGTCACCTCCGAAATCTCTGCAAGAGTGAAGTTCGCCTCCACGAACTTCCACCAGTCCTTCGCCCCCAAGCGAAACTGTTTCAGTGCAAACCGAACCCTCAGATGCTCCGGACACGAACAGGTGTAGAAGCATCCCTCGATATCAGAAATCCGTCTCATCGCAGCAATCGGATCCTGCGTCCCATCAAACTCCGGTGGCTTCGTGTTGCTGAACTCTCGAAACAACAACGAGTCACCTCCCTGAGGCCTGGCAGCAGCCACAGCTGCAGTAGCTGCAGCAGCCGCAGCCTCAGTCACTGTTGCGTACCGCTCATCAAAAGTCTCAATCAATGTGGTCTTGATAGACCCAAACATCTCCGAAATCTCGGCTCGAATCGCCGCTGCCACCTCATCGTGGATCATCTGACGAAGCTCCTCGTCACTCACGCCGCTCGTCTCAGGTCTGTGGCGTGTCTCAACCATGATGTCATAACATAAAAAAAATATCAGAGACTCACTCGAGTGTACTCGCACTCGATAACTCAGCCCTACTTGTTCCTTAGTACCCTAAGGATTCTTACTTGGACTGCGCACTGATCCGGTGTTTTCAGTAGTACGGGCCCAATACTACCTTCCACACCGCATCAGCATTCATTCCAAGTCCTCCTCCTAGGATCCCAGATCACAAGTACTCTACATCTCGCTAAACATAGGCTACCCGTCGGTAAACTTCTCATAAGCTCCTCACTGCTACCTACTCACTCTCGAAGCATCTCAAAGCAGCAGTAATCTCCTAGGCTAAGGCATCACAAATCAGGCCACTCTAGTCCTAATATGAATACCTAGCCTACTCTAGCATGCATAACATATCATATCATATCTCGTAACACATAATGTAAGGGTATTTTGGGAAATCACCGTTCGAGCGCTGGCTGATCGTACACACTGCTCCGTTCTGCCTTTCTCAAAATCTTTTACTCTTTTAGAAATATTGTTTCTTTTCTGAAAATTTTCCTCAAATCCTCAGTTTGAGTTCAGATACACCCGAAGGTGCATCCGAATCCCTCAAACCAAGGCTCTGATACCAACTTGTAACGACGTAAATTTTCAAAACAATTTTTCATTTTTAAATCATCAAAACAATATCATAACAAACTGTATCCAATGTCATCATAACAACAATTCCCAGTATCTCGAAACATAATCTTTATGAGTGTGTACAGATCATGCCGGCGCCTTCCCGCGATCCTCGCTAGTACCTGAAACACATAACACAACAACTGTAAGCATAAATGCTTAGTGAGTTCCCCAAGATACCACATACAACACATACGCCTTTCCAGGCCATAACTCTGTGGGATCTTCCGATCCAAGTGTCTCAGGGGACTTCCGTCCCGAATCCCGGTAGACCTTCCGGTCCTACCCGTATCGACCTTCCGGTCCGTAACCTCCTGACCTTCCGGTCCGTAACCTCCTGACCTTCCGGTCCATGTCATCTTGACCTTCTGGTCCATATCATCTTGACCTTCCGGTCCTTACCATACATAACATACATAGCACATACATATCACATAACCGCATATAGTACATACATCTCATAGCATACAAGACCTTCCGGTCACACATAGGTACCCTTCCAGGTACAGTATAGTGAGAAGACTCACCTCAATGAAGTCGGATAAGCTCTCGTGCTCAACGTCCCGACCTAGCCTCCTCCTATCATTCAAATAACATCCCCGATCAATAATTCTCTCATAGTCTCATCTCTAAAGATTGGGTAGAAGGCCATTCTACCCCTCCCTGAACTTTCTTGAATCAGTCTTGACCAGAACCCTAAGGTCAACGAAAGTCAACGGTCAAACTTTGACCCGACTCGTCGAGTGCACATGGGCGACTCGGCGAGTCCATGTGGGTCCTCTGAATCCTTCTAGCCTCTCCTGGCTCGTCGAGTCATCCCTCCACTCGACGGGCTCCTCCTGTCACGAATCGCAGGGCAACCCCGATTCGACTCGTCGAGCCCACTTATGAACTCGGCGAGTTGCTTCCATGCTCACACTCAAATGACCTTTTGAGGTCAGATCTGCTTCTCCAATCTATAGATCTAACCTTCCCAAGCATGATAATCACGAAAAGGTTCGAACTGTAGGCCCATGCATCACACTATCACCTCTATATGCCAAAATAACCCTTAAAATGATAACCTAAGCCCCAAACTCATAAAGGACTATATAAAGCTGGAGAATAGGGACTCTCTGGACCTCTCAAGGTCCAGATCTGATGATATTGACACAAGGGGACATCACATAGACTAGATCTCTTACCAAAAGAAGAGAAAAAGCCCTAGATTCATGAAATCTATTACTCAATGAAAATGAACATGAATCCTTACCTCCCACAGCAGCTCTGCACCAAATGATGGAAGATTTGAGTCCCACAAGACTGCCTAGCTCGAAATCCTCCCTTCCCTTTGCTAAAACACACCAAATAATGATGAATTAGCCTTCCTCTTGCACCACAACCGATCTCTCTGCTCTCTAGGGTTTCTCAGGGGTGAAGTGGCCGCAAATGGAGGCCATAAAGGCCTTTAAATAGGGCACAGACCCCGAGAATTAGGGTTTCAATCCACAGTGCGGACTCGTCGAGTCCACCCTTTCCGACTCGTCGAGTCCGTTCATTAATCCAGTCAGCACATGCGATCCTACTCGACAAGTCTACGCCTCAACTCGTCGAGTCCCTCCCTTTTACTCAAAAGAATAAATGATCAAACATAATACCTGGAAATCTGGATGTTACAAATAGGTCATAGGATTAACCATTATGCATATACCCTCAGAAAGGCCGAACTACACATACCATTGAACCAAGTAAAGATGTCAAACCACATACAAGTACCGAACTATACCTAAAACTGCCGAACTTCGCAAAGCAGCAATTAAAGTACGACATGATGTGACCATAGTGTATAAATGACATGGGAACTCAAAGGAATACACGTTGTATATATAAGGGTGATTGACAGAACCTTATACTTACGAGGAATAGTTGTATAATAGTTTCGAAGTGCTTCTCTATGTACCTTCGGGCGTACGACCGTAAATGCGGTAAGACAGTAAACCAGTTCGACACATAAGAAGGCCGAGACATTTCTACTTCGACTATAAATAGGTAATCTGCTCCACCATTGCCAGGTACGCAAACAATCGATCATTCATCTCGATTGAGAGCACATGCTATGATTTCTCTCAAAGTCTTTACTAACTTTATCATCAGAGCGTTGGCCCAGGATCTCCTCCCGGACAACTAGCTTACGAATTTGTGATTGTTTCTAGGCCGTTCATTCTTTAAGGGAGTCGTCTAACTCAATAGTATGGAGTTTGAACCCGGGGGCACATCAGGTGGCGCCATCCGTCGGACTCTACAACAAATAGCCAACGAAGGAAATACAGTTGCCAAGATGAGTCCCGTCACAAGAAGACATAACTTTGAGGAAACACCACAAATCACGATGGTGGTGGCGCACAGAAACATAGCAATGGAAGTCCCAGAAGAAGGGAAACGGGGTAAAGAACGCTTGGAAGAAGAAGAAAGAGAAATGCAGGAATTTGAAGCTTTCAAAAACTTCGAAGCTATGAAAAAGCAACAAGTGGAAAGAATTATTCATAAAGTACAGAAAGAAAGAACACAAAAGGAAAAGGATGGGATCAAGTCTCAGTGCACGCTAGTCAAATAAAGGATTCAGAAGAAACATAAATAAGAACCTGAAGAAGCGAATAACAGGCAAGTAAGAAAGAAAGAAACAAGAAGGAAGTAAGTTCAAAATTTCCCTCACTTCATGAGAAAGCAAAGAGAGATTCCTAAAATGAAAGAATGTCACCAGAAGTTGCGAAGATAAAACAGTACAACCAGGCGTTTCAAAATCTTAACTCCCGATCACCTTTCAGAGATGAGATCAATGAGACTCCCATCCCAAAAGGGTTGAAGGGACCTAGAGTTCCAATGTACGACGGAACATGAGATACTGATGTGTAACACCCCGAATCCCAGGTATAAAATTTAAAGCTTATATTCACATTCTTAGACCTACTCGACGAGTTAGATGTCCCAACTCTTCGTGTAGAAGCGGATCAGGCGGCGTGATTTATGAGGTCTACTAGACGAGTTGGAGGACCCCAATGCGACGAGTAGGAGCTGGAAAATGAAACGCCAATTTTCAGGGATTTACACCCTATGTAAAGGATCATTAGCCTCCCTCTGCCTCCCTTATCGTCCCCCTTGAGATCAGAAAACCCTAATCGCGCCTACTATCCATTTTTGTGTGTTAAGAAGCTTGGAAGGTGGATCTTGTGAAGAGAGCTTGAAGTATAAGGAGCTTGGAGCAAGGAGAAGCTTATGGATCTGATTTCTACTTCATCTTAGCATTATCTTGAAGGTAACAGTCGTTACCTTGACTTATCTCTAGCTAGATCTCTTCATGCAAAAGTTTTGGGCTTTTCTACTGGTTGTGGAGTTATTTATGGTTTTAGGCATGATCTGAAGTTATAACTTCAGATCTGGACTCCTCTAGCCCCATATAGTCATAAAGTTCCAGTCTTTGGCAAGTTATGGCCTTCTCCTTACCAAAAACTTCTCGCTTAGCTTGGTTTTGGCATTTAGGACCTTGCATGTACGTAAAGTTTGCAACTTTACGTGGAAACCATGCCCTAGGAGGTTAGATCTGCAATTTGGAGCTTTAGGGAAGCTTAAAAACGTCTGAATAAGAAATGGACTGAAGGGACTCGACGAGTTGCATGCCCAACTCGACAAGTCGGATGAAGATTGCATGTATTGGTTCTGCATGGACTCGATGAGTTAGTGAGATGACTCGACGATTTAGTTAGGGTTTTTCCTTACATTTGGACACCGAATGGACTCGACGAGTTGTATGGAAACTCGATGAGTCAAATAGGGTTTTCACGATTTATCAAGTTCTGGAAGAACTCGACGAGTCAGTATGCTACACTCGACGAGTTGGGTGAACATGGACTGTTGACCTTGACCGTTGACTTTGACTTTGACCAAGGGTTGAGCTGTTGGACTTCTGAGGGTATTTTGGTAATTTGGGATTTTGATGGACTTGGTCCTATGGTGGTTATAGGTGGTTGAGTTCGTGGCTGTGATTCGGGAGTTTGATCTTATCACTACAGTTCGACATCGTGAGTTGAGTTCTTCTCACTATATCAACAGGGTCTAAGGCACCAAGGCCGGCCCTTTATGATTCTATTCTGGTTATAGGATTGTTGCTATGTTAGTGATTTGTTAGACCGGTATCCTGGGTATAGGATGGTTGCTATGTTAGAGATCTGTTAGATCGGTATCCTGGTTATAGGATGGTTGCTATGTTAGGGATCTGTTAGATCTGTATGACTATTTGTACATGCTAGCTAGCGTATGATATTTATGTGCACATGATTGTTTGATTGGGGGATGGGTTGAGGCGTTCATGCTTTGTGCTTGTGCCAACATACCCATGGCGGACCGAATAGACTGCAGACCTGGTTAAGGCGTACTAGTTAGGCCGAAGGCCCGACGAGTGGTCCGGATAGGCTGAAGGCCCTGAGAGGTGGTCCAGACGTGCCGATGGCTCGGAGAGCGGTCCAGATAGAGTGATGGCCTGTGAGGCGGTCCAGTCAGGCTGATGACTCATTATGCATGCTGTGTATATGATATGATTATATTTGTATGGTGTTGGTATTTTGGGGGAATTCACTAAGCTTCGGGCTTATAGTTGTTGATTATGTTTCAGGTACTTCTGATGATCGTGGGAAGGTGAAGGCGTGATCGTGCACCTCCTTATATTTTTATGATTTGATTCTTGGGGTACTCTGATGTTTAAACTATTTTGAAAACAAATTTGTAATAACTGTTGGTTTTAAATGTTTTAAAAAAGTTTTAAATTGGCATGATTTTAGAGGGTGTTACAAGTTGGTATCAGAGCTTTGGTTTGAGTAAATTGGAGGAAACACTCGTGTGTATCCAATCTCAAACTGAGGACAAGATTTTTAAAATGATTTTCAAATGGTTTTCAAAATATTAAAGGAGGATGCAAGTGTACGATCAGTCGGAGCCAGTAAGTTGACCCCAAAATACCTTATGGATTATTTGATTTTGTGATATGTTAGAACAACATGCTAGTACTAGGCTAGGGATCTTCAAGAATTGCATGATAGAATTTCTTGATTATATGATGCCTAATAGCCTAGGGTTTTTCCTTATATGAAATTGACATCATTACTGTAGTTGGTTAGTGTATGCATCACGACTATACATAATTAAGATCTTATAGCCTGAGAATGTTTGGTTTGGCCTTATTTCCTGTTCTTGTTTGATGAAGGGCTTACGGTAGGATCAAGTATTTGAAAGTCTATAGGGTCCAGCGTTATGTATGGCTATCATACACTAGTGCTGCAGGGTTGGTGGAAGTTTCATGGATGAGTTGTTTGGGATCAGTCCGCCAGCTATGAGATATTTAGCCTTCCTCTAGGAGTGAGGATTGAGCGCACGCCATGCTTACGTATAGTGTTAGGGCATTGTGATGACACTTGAGACAAATATGGGTAGGTGTGGAAGGTAGTATGGGCCCGTACTACTGAAAGCACAGGACCCATACGCGTAGCAAGGAAGTCACAACCCCTAGGGTTTTGTTGGGAGTTGGTTCCCAGATTATTATATGGAATATTTGATATCTTCCTAGTATATTTTCAGCATGGTGGTTACTAGACGATTTTTGACTGGATCCGAGTCAAGATCAGGAGATGGCGGACAGGAGGCACCAGCAGTGCCCGAGACTGTCGGCCATATGGGGCCAGACGAGATGGACACCAAGATTCGGGAGATCCTGCATGATGAGGTTGCTGCGATGTTCCGAGCTCAGTTGCCGGAGATGTTTGGGTCTATCAAGACCGCCATGGTGGAGTACTTCGATGGGCGCTATGCAGCCCTCACTGAGACGGCTGCCGCAACAGCTTCAGCAACTGTAACGGCGGCAGGGGGAGGAGCCAATCGGGCTTTTCAGTACCGGGACTTCGATAACACAAAGCCCCCGACTTTCGATGGGACTCAGGACCCAATTGTAGCCATGAGATGGCTGTAAGATGTGGAGGGATGTTTCTTCACATGTTCATGTCCTACTGACCAGAAGATCAGATGTGCCCTGAACCTGCTGAGGTCCGGGGCAAAGGACTGGTGGAGGCTGATGACAGGGTCGTATACTGATGAGCAGAGAGCTGTGGTTACTTGGGAGCAGTTCAGGGATATGTTTCGCGCTCGCTACATTCTGCGGGTCGAGAGGGAACGGCTAGCTCAGGAGTTTCTGGATTTGAGACAGGATGCAGAGTCGGTGATGGAGATCACTCGTATATTCACCGGGAGGGCGATGTTTTGCCTGGAGTTTGCTTCTGAGCAGGCTCAGATGACACGTTAATGGAGCATGCTCAAGACTGACATCTGTCAGTTTGTGGCTACCCAGCGTTGCGATACACTACTGGAGTTACAAGAGGCCGCTAGACGGCGTGAACTAGGGATTGAGCTGCAGTTGAGAGAGCAGCGGCAGGCCCCGACACAGTCACAGTCGGCACCAAAGCGGTCTAAGACCGCTGATTCCAGGTCGGGAGGCCAGCATGGCCGCACTTATGGCAAGTGTGGGAAGGGTCACTCAGGGGTTTGTAGATCGGGTAACGCGTGCCGCAAACACGGCAAGGAGGGACATTTTGGGAGGGATTGTCACCAGCCAGCCCTGGTTCAGGATATGAGGATCTGCTACCACTGGTATCAGGTTGGTCACGTGAAGACCAACTGTCCACAGTTAGCTGGCAGGCCGGCGCAAGCTCCAGCACCGGCTACACTGAGGATTACTGACGGGAGTCAGGGTAAAGCAGCGCCCCGAGGGCTCAGGGACGCGCCTTCCAGCTTACGGCAGAGGAGGCCAGGGCAACACCAGGCGTGGTTGCTGGTATGTTTCTATCCCTTATCTTACTGATTATATATGTGTTATGCTTATGTGTTCGTACCTATGACTAGGTACGTTCTTAGTGAACTCCTTACCTGCTTTGGTATTATTTGACTCGGGTGTGAGTCGGTCATTTGTCTCTCAGTCATTTAGTAGGGAGTTCGGTTCGCCAGTAGGGGAGCTAGAGTGTCCGTTGCAAGTCTCTATCTCCAATGAACACGTGATTTCCTCTTCTTCAGTCTATCGGGGTTGTGTATTGGAGATCTTCGGAGTATCTTTCCTGATAGACCTGATTCTGATTCCCATGGGGGATGTATGTGTGATTGTGGGTATGGACTGGCTTAGTCGCTTCGGTGCCATGATCGACTGCAAGGATCAACGGGTGGTAGTTCGAATCCCAAGTGGGGGAGAACTGATTGTCTACGACGAGGGCACCAGATTGGGATCAGGGTTTTGTTCAGCTGCCAGGGCTTTGCAGCACATTCAACACGGGTGTGCGGGTTATTTAGTGTATGTGGTGGATACGCGGGTCGGGGATCAGACCACGATTTTAGAGGTTCTAGTAGTCATGGAGTTCGCTGACGTGTTTCCGGAGCAGTTACTCGGAGTGCCTCCGAAGAGGCAGGTCGAGTTTAGGATCGACCTAGTGCCAGGTGCGGCCCCTATCGCCAAGGCGCCATACCAATTGGAACCACTAGAGATGCAGGAGCTGTCATCACAACTGCAGGAACTGCTGGGCAAGCAGT